GGAGACAATTTTTCATTCAATGACACAAGCATACTCGGAGAAAAGGGATTCCGAACGAGTGACGACAGAACTTCGAATACTCTGCCACACAGCTATAAATAACTCCAGATAATTGGTGTTTATAAAACTAAATTAGGTCCACAATTTCGGGGGCAACCACCACAAGAGAGCGATCACTGTTGAGTCGCGCTTCTCTTTTACTGAAGTTCTCGTAAGCCTGGTATTCCAGAATGTTCCTTTTCCAACTCGCATAAAGCCTATAATTATGTATTACTGACTCGAATTCTTAGCAATTGTTTATGAGAAGGTGGAACTCCGGCCTATGACTATTACCTCGGCTCTCTCACTATCGACATGTAACTTGTTTTTCTAGTTACTTCTTTAATTTGTGTAGTCACCTACGGATAAAACTTTTTCTTCAAGAACTTTCTCTCTGCAATTATATTGGCGTGCGTTCACTTTCGTGTACACTCTGTAAAAGTATCCTATCATATGCTTTACTAAATTTGGGCATGCACAATATATTCACCTCCGTTTTCAAGTATTAATCAATAAGAGAGACGGAGCTTGTGGAGGGAAATTATCAAAATGATTGATTTCAGATTAATTTCTGCGTTTCCGCAAGAGATCAGACCGAGTGCTTTAATGATTATACTTGATAACACTTAAAATAAATAAACAAAAGACAAAGCGCATGAAAGGGAGCCGCGATTTCGGAAACTTTCCGAAATTGGGATTAAGAGCTGTGGTACAGCTCTCAATCGTTGAGGGGAGGGGTGGGGAAATGGTTGCGATGACAAGAAAAAAACCAATGACTATCAAAGAAAAAATTGTTAATAAAGAAATCTATATATGGGACCACGAGCGTTTCAGGGTACAGTGAGCCAACTCTCTAAGCCATGAAGATTTTAGTATAAATAACAATGATCCTTCAGAACGTGCCACTTGGTCCATAATTTAAATGTAGTTAGCCAAAGCCGGAAGTAATACAAAAATGGAGCGTTATTAAGCGTAATTGGTGTGACGCAGCTTAAAATTTTTCGCAAAGTTTGATCTTTTTTCGAGAGAAAAAAGACTTTGTTTCTCACCATAACGGTCATTATACATGTAGGAAAAAGTAGGAAGCTAACGCTAGAATCCTTCAATTAACCCGTTTCTAAATTTCCTAACTGAAAAATTGACTTAGATCTTGACAAACACATGACAGCGAGTAAGTGGTTATTTCATCTGGAAACTGTTCGACGAACATTTTTCGGTATATAGATTGATTTGAAAGATTTCGTGATTTGTTCACAATAGTATTGTTTGCACACTTGCTGCGCGCGGCAAGATAAATCGATATCTCAAGTATTTCAAACAAATAGAACCCACTTGATTTCAGCTTAAGAAATCTTAAGAATCCCACCTATGATAGCTATTTACTGTGGGTCTTTCCTTCATCGTGCATCGCGCAAAAATTTCGAAATTACTGAGACGGCATTTAAGAATTTTAGACAAAGAATAAAACACACCGCTTGCCTAATTAATCCCCAACTGACATTAATCTGAAGTGATTTTCTTTGCCAAGAGCGTTTGATGTAGCTTTCAATGAAAAAAGAAAGATCTTTAACCATTTTTATATCAGCGCAATCAACTCAAACACTTCCAAAAGGGCGGTAGAACAGTTGACGTTCTCAGTTTTACAAACGACGGCGGCCTTCTGGTTGATTCTCTTTAGCTTCCGATGACGCAAATGACTATTAAATCAATTGCAGCGTTGAAAACTAGCGGTATCTTTCGTAAACTCTTGCGAGATAGTAAATATTATCACATTGTTATTATTTTGACCTCACGTGCCGCGGTAAAAGTGGCGACTTGAAGTGAGTGTCAACCGAGCTCGGCCTCAGCCGATTATGTGCTAGAATTTAATGATTTTTCAAAATTCTCAACAAATTACTCGCGGGGTGCATTTACCTGTCAAAAGAACCACAGCAGCCGGCGTCGTAATTACGTTTTTAAAATCATTTGGTGTATAGAGATTGACTCATTCTCTGTCCCTACAAGATCGGCACTGGTCCCCTACCGAACACTGACTAACGCAAGTCGTTAAATCAAGTTCATTTGTTTGCTCTCCTTTTGAGCTCCGACAAAGACTTTTTTGAAAATTGATTTTTGTACCTCCAGTCACCATTTTAAGTCTTCCTCTGAGAAGTTTATGGCGGCTATAGGAATTGCCGAGAAGGTGATATCACACTTTCCTTTAAAACAGCCGACAACTTCTCATTTGTTTCCGACACCAAAATGAATCATTAGTGAACGAATATCTATCGATTAGCACTTGCAAGAATGTCTCATTCCCGAAATTTCTCCTTATTCCGACATTTAAACAGCACGTAATAATTTTTTGCAAGAGGATATTAGAAAATTACTAAGAAAACACCACAGCATAGAAGGATGGGCCGCCATTTATGTAATGAGGCAAAATCCCAAAGACAGCAATCGTCGTGGATGCTCTAAATAAATTTAGGAAGTTGTAATAGTCTACCAAAATAGAACTACATCCGTGGATTAAACCTGACATAGCTGTCTCCTCTCTTGCTTTATTAAAACATCACCGGTGATCTTTTGTTTGAATTGGTTTTGCCGAGGATAGCGCTCTGTTTATTCAAGGATGAGTTTCGTGTTATAAAAATAAGCGCTATTGTTTTATCTTAGACTATTTGCGCTTTAAAATAAGACTAGAAATGTAAAATTAAAAATATTTTGATGAGCTTAGAAGACTTTAAACCTATTTAAGTCTTAAGATGGAACAGATGGATCCAAAGCCATCGTTAAGGGAAATTTCCAACGATTTTCGCTGACATGTTTTTCCTTTTGTAGTTAATGAACATTCGAGAACTACTCAAAGTACATGTATAGTCGCCAAGTCCTTTAAAGCATGCGTTCAGTTAAGTATTTCAGGATTCCTCACTAACACAGCACAGTTAAAACGCCAAACTGAAGAACTTTCCACAAAGTTTGGTGTCTCCCGGCAATGGCGAAAAATGATCACATACATATGTTTCATATGTTTGTTGTTGTATGATCACTTTTATCAAACAATTGATCCAGAACTCTATTTTCCATTCGTGAGTGGAAAAAATAGATTTCCGCCGGTTAGGCAAGCATTTTAAGCTGTCTAAATACAAGTAATTCTAATGTTATACGTGTGTGCCTTTTTTTACACCGGATACTGGAGCCAAGTCCATTCCGAGATAGTTTGAACTGACAACCTGATGTTTCCATTGTCTTTCAGTTGCAAATGTAAGATCTTCACGAATTGGTAAGCGGTACTCTAATCAAAACATAAGAAGATAAATGAAGCAAAAAATAGAAACAGCATTTTGTTTGGTAGCTACAAGTATTACCTTAGCCCTGTAAAAACATCGAGGACACAGAAGAACGACCCTTAAAATACCAGTTCGGATTTTTTTTTTCTACAAAATAATGCAATTTGGCTCGTGTTCTTGCTTGGAAACCCTAAATCATTTCATTCACTGCATGTGTAAAGATATTCTCTTGTAAAACGAAGAGCAGCGAATTTTCTTTTTTAAAAAAACCGCCATGTTTATGTCAGCAGAATTTGTCAGGGGAAAGCGGAGCATTCTCCACGAGGATTTGGTTTCAGTTCCTTTGTGATCGATTCAATTCGTTCAACTGTAATCCATCTCTTTTTATGTTAACCAAGCGGAATGGTAAAACTGAAAAATGCCACTCGCGCGAATGATTAAATTGGTAGTTTTGGATTTCCTGTGTCACTTAATTTTCTGACTTAACCCCAGTTTTGGACTTGGTCATGTACAAATAGCTCCCTGTGCTGCGTGGCTGGTTCATGACCATTATGCAGAGACGATTACATAACTAAGAATAATCCAATTATGCCAGCGTAAATGTTCTTATCTAAAAATCCTTGGAATTTATGGGAAGATTATCGAAATCATCTGATAGCTCTCAAGATGTTGTCAAGACCTTAGAACAATGGTGACCCTTTTAACTCTAAGAAAATTTGTCAAGTGTTCTAATCAAGTAGCTTCGTGTGTCTAACAACTGAAAAGTAATGAATGTAAACAACAGATATCTAAGGTTGCAAATGGCAGACCTCATTGCCGGTTTCATTGTGGAGTGGTCATGCTCAAATTTGGGTTTATACTGTTATCATATGCAGAAAAACAATATCTTTTCATTTTTTTGCTAAATTTCGCAACTACTCGTTCAAATATTTTATTTACGTAACAAAACTGTCATTTCAAGGAAGAATTGAATAAACTAGGTGCAGTTGAAAATTCTGTTTTCTCTCAGTACTAGAATCTTTCGTCCAATCATTGAAGTGATACTCTAGAAAACAGTGTTCTCGCCAACTGTTCCGGTAAAATAACATTAATCTATAACCAAGAAACAAATTTCTAGGGGAAGTTGGTTTAAGGCGTTGGGTAAACAGTTAGCAGTTGTCTTTGTCGCTTTGCGCGAAGAAAACTAGTGAATAATGAGATCACAATGCCACTAGAGATAGAGCTTTCTCGCTTCGCGGTTTTCGTGAATCCTGGTAACGCCGACGACAAAGTAGACAAAACATGGCGAATCCTGCATCCCACAATGACAGCCTCGGAGCGTGACCCGCCTTCTACTGGCACAGCAACGGGAGATCGATCGACGAGATTTTAAAAATCCCTCTTTTGTTACCCTTTGAGTTAAAACCATACGAAAAATAATAGCCTCTCTTTGCTTGGGAACTGTGAATTGTCTCGGATAAATTAATATGTGGTAAACTAACACACGATTGTCAGCAGGGAGTTTGTAAGATAAGGGAACACGTTGTTGTCACGTGGAAAGCGTTTCAGCTGAAACAAGTGTTCACCGAAACACCTTGAACGCAAATAAGTCCCCCCAATTAATATCACAAGCTAGGAACAGAAGAGACTCCGTAACTACTCAATCAGCAAACTTGGAGGATACGAAGAGTGACTTGCATTCCATTGGATGATATTTATAGCTCAATAATTGATATTTACAAAAGAAATCTCTTGCCAAGCGCCTACAGGGCTAATCCACCAAAAATATACTTTTTTGACATGACAATTACAAGTCATGGTAGCAAAATTTACAAAGGCCTCTGGACCAGCCCAGTTGCCATATGTTTTCGAAAGTGTTTCATCATCTTGGGATCAGTAAGCTTGTTAGGCAGGAATGAAATCGCAGTATGATCTAGCTAGGTTTTGGATCTCTCAAAATTTGAATACTTTGCTGCTGTTCTCCTTTGCTAAAGTTAAGACTTAAATCATTTCGATTATATTTACTACTGTCTTTAGTAAATAAGCACTGAGAATCAATAGTAATTATGGCACATTAATTAAAACGAGCAGTGCTTGTAGCCACGCGAGGTTGCACTTGGAGAAAACTTGGGAGCCAAAATTTTCCAAGAATCTTTCAAAAGATTCTACTCTCGGCGTGAAAGGAAACGAGATTTGAAAGCTTCTTATCTTTAGAAACTTTCAGATTTCCGTGACTCACGTCTATTATCTGAAGTTTATAATCTGCTGAGTTATTTTGCCTGCTGAAATGATTTCGTAAGTGCGGAACTGATAAGACCTACATGTAGATGAAGTATTTGTAAAATGATTTGCACGATCATTTAATTCTCTAAGGGAGTGGATGACTTGTCGCTCAAGAAAACTGATCAGGCAAAAGTTTCAGATATGAACTTGAAGGAGAGTACCTCGGCAATTACCACTGCTAAACGTCCAACTTTAAAAACAGTCAGTGTGCGTCTTGGAAAGCGATTTACATATCCATTAACAGCTCAACACTTCAGCAATTTATCACATACTTATGTCAATCATTAAGAACGTACATCAACGTGAGGACCACACAACAAAAGCACTTCTACGAGTCACTGATTCCAGATCATCTTTCTTCCTAAAGTAGTCATTTTCTTCAAGGGCAATTCTCTGTGATTAAGTCTAGCTTCTTTAGTTTAGAGCGGGGATCCGTCTTCGTGACAGGCCTAGCGTTTCATTTCGTATCCGAACAATTAGCTTACCGTGTGAAGAAGAGCAAATCAACACAAGTGCTTGGTTACATTCCTCTGGCACGCAAATGTAAATCAACTTCTTCAAGCTGCGAAAATCTTAAGTTAGAATAAGCCTTCTTAGCCCTTTCGTGGGAGGATGCAAAAATTTCCGATACCTGCGTGTTGAAATAACTTGAAAATGTTAGAGGGGGGCATAAAGTAGGTTAACGCGGGGGGCTTGTACTGAAGTTAACAGCATGAAAATTTTGGAATTAAAACCACGTGTGAGCTCTCACGTTATGTTTTTTTCTCCTTTACAATTGTTGATGTACTTTTCCCTCGAGACTTCAAGTCACCAAAGTGACGCAAACTGATGAAATAGCGTGTACCATCTAGCGATACGAGCGTAGATAAACTGTAATTGCTGTTGACAATGCCCATTGGTTTGCGTGTTTTATTAGTCGTCCAACTGTCACTGCAGTATATAAACAAGGAGGTCATCTTAAAATTACAGCTATTGTGTTCCCCTGGTGCTCTACTCTAACTTGCCACACTCTGTTGGTCACAGTAAATGTTATCCAGAGTGACCGTTTTTAAACTTGTGATAAAATCATTCCCACTCGCTCTCGAGACCGGCGATAAAATCCTTTTGATATTGCGCAGATTGTTACGTGTCTCCGCTAACGTGCGTCCGTTTGCGGTCATCGTAGAATCTTATGCGGGCGAGGAAGGCAAAACCAAAATGAACGCATCCTAACCGCTTTGCTCTCACAGAGTTTACCGTGCTGGCAAAACAAGGACTTCGCGAGGCTGGTGTTATGCAGTGATAATGGGTTTCCACTGTTAGCACCACAGGACTTTATCGGCTTGTCTAATCCAAAGAAATCAGTTAATTCACTTCCATCGCATGCCAGAAATCTATCGATGTTCAAGATCTTAATTCTACGCCGCTGAAGGGTTTGCCAATGTGTTCATCGGGGAGCTAAAAGGCAGCGGCTGCTAGCCGTGTGACAAGAGAGAGGCATAATTCCATGTCGGGAAAAACCAGCGGAGCCAACTGTAAATTGTAATTGACTGTCAATTAGTCAGTCGCAGCTTGAATGACGGACACTGGTGTTTCTGTTTAACTAGTAATACCGCCCACCTCATCCGATTCTATATAGAAGCTATTTAAATGGAATGCCTGTGACGCCACTACGCAAACTGAATCTTGAATACGGCGCAAACCTTTCTCATTGATTTGAACGCGTATCATATGCTACCGTAAGGCACAGGAGCCATGTTGGTTCACCGTTTTGGTCTTGGTTTAATGTTTGTGCACATCGTATACCTATCGGCAATTCCAATTCTCCTTGACGACAAAAAGAAAACTTCTAGTCTTGCTAATGGCTCGGAAGAACTCGAGCCCTGGGAAGTGAATCAAGAAGTGATTGGCCGTAGAGGTGTGCACGGCTTCTGTCCGTTCTTTGAATAGCTGTGTTTATGTCTCCAGACTTGCAGAAAATCCTTTGATTTGCCGCTCGTTCGACGTTAACGCTAACCACAAAAGTAGATCACGCGCAGACCGTGTCAAACGCCGCGGAATACGTTTGGATGGTTTTTGAAAAAAGAGCGGAATCCATACTTGAGAGCTTTTTTTTTATTATTATCCACCGTAATTAACCTCAAAAGTAACATCTAACCAACTGGCATCTTTGCAGGTAATACGGCTTCTTTTGACGGGTGGACTCTCTACCAGGGAGATATCGTTCTAGACTGGAGAACACGCCTTCTCATCCAAGGAGGACATTTCCGAAGACGAAGAGCCGTGAAAAAATTACAGACCTCGCGATGGCCAAACGGAGAGATACCTTATGTCGTTGACAGAAACTTAGGTAAGTTGAAACCGATGTTTTGAATCCTTACACTCGTCACCTTGACATTACTTTGAGGTTGGCAGCCAAAAAAGTTGCGTTCAGCCAGATTTGTAGTAAACAATAAACTGAACTGAGTGTCTCAAACGTAAGAAAACGATTTTTCCATGTTATTAAGACTTCTTAGTGTAAATGAAGTATTTTAATCCCCCGCAAATAAACCTCAAGTCTCAGAGCGAATGGGGATCCAGTATTACAACTGTATTTTTACTACTCTCCAAGAGTTTACCGGGCTACCTCAACCCACGCGACAAGTTATGTACAGAAGACTTATGGGAATGTTTCTTCGTAAATTACGGCCTTTTTCACCCCGTCATAGCAAGTTTGAGCCTCTTCATTGCTCGCAAACATTTCATCAATTCAACAGCGGCATACCTAACATGTTTTTAAAACGTAAACGTCGAGAATGAGTACGACAGATTGAATTTTTTGCCATCAAAATAACTCAGAATGCATTTCTCTGTAAATATGTGTAGTGGATATAGGTAGCTTGAGCAATTAATCACACGACGTAATGTAGTCATGAGGATGTCGAAGTAGAGATGGTTAGAGTTTAGACAATAGCCTGTCATTGTCCTGCTTAATTTTCAATGAAGTTTACGCTGACATTGAATATTTTAAGCGATAAAGGATCGATACGACGAGTGGGAAGCCGTGGAAGAGCACACAGTTCCAATTTCGTAGAGTGATGTGTATGCATGAAGGCGGAGCCACGTCCATTTTTAATTGATGCTGTATTCTTCTCTATCAACAATGGCCCCATCGCCGTCAATTTTAATTTAATTACGATATAAAACTACTCAATACGATGCCTTTCATTCTCGCTTTGTTGTTCATTTCTTGTAGCCACGAAAACCAAGAGGGAAATTAGAAGAGCTCTTAAACACTGGAAAAGAAGAACGTGCCTTCATTTCCGTCATAAGCGAGACGGTGATGCCGATTATATTCGCTTTGTTTACGAACCAGGGTAAGGATTATTAGTACCTCTCACTTTGACTGAAATATTAATGTATTCCTTGTTTTCCGGTTGCTCTTAATACTTTCACAATGGGAAACACACGCAAGCAGCTACCTACTAAATATGACAACATAAAAGAGGTTATTGTAAAAGCCGCTAGTGCGAGGAAGTAGGCTAATTTTAAGAGTGATTTTTCCTTTGAATATGTTTTTAGCGCGTTATTTTCTGTTGTTGTTGTTGTTGTTGTTGTTTTTTTTTTTTGTGCCATTTTAGATATAACAGGGTCTTTGTAACCGTTGTAACCCTTTTTAGAAGTTCAGACCACTAAGTACCTGCTATCAAAATCATCAAAAAAGGACCACACAAAAAGCCGAGTTATTTCAAGGGTTCAGTACTCTAAATTGCTAGCTCATTAACACTCTTCTTCGGTGACATTGAGGAAAGGAGTGAGTCCGGAAACCCGATGACATTTATATCGTTAATTAACTCATTCAAGAGTGGTCAGCAACGAGCGTGGTTACTGGCAGTGCGCTGCACATACCGGAAGAGCATTGATTCTAGTGTTGTCTTAGTTTTCCTTTTTGCTTTCAAAGCAAACAGAAAAAAGAAAACATGAATAGCTACTTACAATGGCCAAACATCAGAAGAGACAGCAAAATAAAGAAATGATTTGATTAATTGCCGAGGCGATAAAACCAACTTTGAATGGCGAACGGCCGTGATTTGCTGGCCAGGTGTGGAATTAACTACAAACAAACATTTGACAGTTTTTCTATTGTTTACAAATGTCAATAATAATGAAAATTTTTATCAGGACTTAAAATTACCTTGTGACTTCAAGGCAGCCCAAAATTTTCGCGTCGCTTTTGGAAAAGATATTCTCTCACCTCTTTACCACCTTTACGACAGTACAACCGCTGTACTATAGAACGCGACAAGAGGTTTACCGACGCACTGAAAACAAGATTTTGTCGCCAGTTCCGGCATAAGACTTCACAACGATGATTAATTGCAATGAAGCTAGAAATGAAAACAATTCCTTAGGGTTTTTTGTTTTTCTCCATTAGCCTTATCAGGTCTTGAACACGTATTAAACTAAGAGACACAAAAGTGAAAATAGTTCCCGCTTCTCGTGTGATTTTCCGTGTTGTTCCATCATTCAAACTTTTTTTTATTTTTCATTAAAGCATAAAAGATAGCTAATATTATGCAAAAATTGGGAAGTGGCTGTAACAGTTTAACTTTGTAAACAGCTTTGGACCCTACTTCCTTGAGATGTCCAACGAGCCAATCGCCTACCTTGAACAAACTTAATTGCGGTGGAGTTTTGTCCGGTGTACACGTGGCGCCGCCAGTGATGCTTGTGACCACCGAATTCTTGAGCATACTGCTTTTGGATAAAAACATGGCCTGCTGCCCACTTAAAATCACGAAAATAATCCACCATTTAATTAAAGAGTTCTTTTTGGCTTCAATGTGGATAACACAAGACGCTAATTCAATCGTTATGTTTTTCAACTGTAAAGCTTATAAAAGCTGCAAAGTGCCTTCTTCGTGACAAGATCGTTTGTTGTTTTAATTATTCATCAGTTGTTTTTACCATTTCATAAAAAAATCAATTGTTTTCACTTCTTCCAAACCAGATCTAATTACTTTCGTCAAACTCTTCACCCTTATCTTAATCTTTGATGAGATGAATTTTGCAATTCGGAGAAATTTCTGGCATTCCCGCTCTAAATTGTCATCTCCATTGGCTCTCTTCCAAAGTGCGAAAACATCGCTATTGTCTCAACCTGCCTTTCAGATACTTCACCGAGCAACGTGGCTTTTCTCTGCAGGTATGCCCCGACTCTCAAAACATATCTAACTGAAAAATATTTGTTTTGTCAAGGTGGTTTTGTAAACTGATCTGCGCATGTTTTTGACGAGCTTTTACTATAACACGACAAAATAAGCCTGACGCAAAAACCATTGCAACTATCCCAAACACGGCAACAGGTTATCTGGCCTTGACAGTCTCTTATTTCGGCCGAAGCAGACAGATGAAGCTGACAATTTAATTAGTTTGTTGCGAAAATTAACAAGTTGAGTAATATGTTTTATCAGACAGTTCCTGTATGAATTTCATTGGCCATCTGTCGCTAGGTTTCACTGCATAGGGGTTTCTCCTGAACACCTTTTCTTCAAAACAAGCCCACGCCGGCTGTGCAAAAGAGCTAGAGGTCGTATTTTCAAAGAGCACCCTTTGGAAGATCCGTTGGTATTTTTTGCCCAAATCTTGCTTTGTTTGGCGAGATGTCAAAGGTCCGCTTGAATTCAAAACAGTGTCCGCTTGTTTGTGTCTACTGGCAAACAGCTGTCGATCCATGAGTTCTTTGCATTCACCTCGTGCTCCCGAAGAATGTTTTTGACGTTTTCTTTAGTCCTAGTAAAATTCTTCTTCGAATGAAAGACAGATATCAGTCAAATGCTGGTTTCTTTTCATAATATCAGGAAATAATCTGACCCATAAACATGATAAACTTGACACTCATAGGGTCGGAGACTTTAAGGAGCGCGCTAGAGTTTTGCATGTACTTTTTTCAGGAAATCTCATCATTGAGACTAAATCAGTGATTCATAGTAGTCCATTTTACCAGGTTACATAATGTCGAAGAGCCTTTTCACATCATCTTTTCTATGAAATTATTGGCAACAATTTTTCTTCGAATCTTGAAATCAGATTTCACCATGACCACACCTTTTATGCTTGCCGAGTATTGATTTGTGCGTTTGTTTGTGCCGATCCTTCAGATTGTCACGACTGCGTATAGATAGTCGCAATTTCTAATCGCTGCTTCATATTTTTTTCGAGGAGCAAATGTTAGTTTGTACGTATATAGATCCGTGTAAGCTCGCGCTTAAATACCTCTGGCTAATTAAAAAACGGAAAGCAATAACAGGACAACAGTCACACTTACAACGCACAACTGATATCATTCACTATGATATTACCGATTTAATTTCACAACCAGTGAATGCTTTGTGAACTCTCCAAGGAATTAGTTCGATTACTGACCAGAATCATTTTGATGCGTTCTTGAGCGCGACACTAAACTCTCACCTTTTCCCAACCCAGAGATTGGAAACCCACCAAACGGAACAATTTTCTATAGTGAATAGTTTATAAAACTCACTTTATCCTCTTAGCCAATCAAATTCAAAATTTAAAACCAATCGTGACATGGTCCTACACGTTTTCCCGCGCTTCAAACTACAGTTTGAATTCGCTAGTTTGCTACTTTGCGTTTTTTTTTTTTTTCGGAACATATCAGTTCTTTTAATTGGTTGGCTTTCCTGAATAGTTTGGTATTGGTGTTGGTTTCAGTTTTCGACACTCAATTAAAATGCACTTCAGCTGTCAAGCAAACCTTACGAATTACTGCATGGTGAATTTCGATGAATTGGCATCCATTTTTGTAAATGAAACAGTGCTCCGCCGGAGTACTAATCATTCTCAAGAAACCAGAATAGTTTCAGAGTTTGCCTTTTTCTTATAATCATAACTACTTGTTTTCAGATGCTGGTCTTACGTGGGCCGAGCAGGAGGGGAACAGAAAGTTTCAATAGGTGCTGGCTGTGAATTCATGGGAACCATCATTCACGAAATTGGTCATGCTGTAGGTTTTTGGCACGAGCAGAGCAGGCAAGATCGTGATCATTACATCAGGATACTCAGGGAAAATATTCAGACAAATGCAGTTGACCAGTTTAGTAAGTGATATTCATGTTCATTTGCTCTGATGGAGGCTTACGCTATGGGAACTCTTTACGGCGGCCAATTTACATCATCAATCAAGTTGATAAAACTAAACTATGTGATATTCAATTTCAGTTCCAGCGATAACAAAATTTACTATTATATTACGGAATAACCATAGTCTTTTGCTTTCATTAATCACGTTTGTTGGTTTAGCGTTTGAAAGTCAAACCCTTCGGGATCCTGATCATTTCAAGTGTTCCTCTACCACTGTGTTACAGGAAATACAGCTTCCAAAGTCACTAATCGGATGTACGAGTCTATGTTCTCTTGTCTAAGGGTCTACTGGGAGAACAATCGAAGTTCTTGCAAGTATCTGATTACGCCTGTGTCATTAGCCATCGGTGCATCTTTAATCAACGGATTTGAATTAAATTGACCAAAGTAATTTCTACGTTGATAATAGCAGTGATCTCACACCACAGAGCATTTCTTGGATATGATTTCTTTTTTTTTCACTCATCTTAGTCTTTAAAAAACGCTAGTAGGTTCAAATGCTGCAAGCTTCTTTAGATACCTTACTAAGCTCTTAAGTTGTGGGTTAAAGTAAGTTGAACTGAGGTAAACCCCAACATGACTTCTCTCCTCTTTTCTAGATAAGATGCCAAGGAAGGTAATGGATTCTATGGGTTACGAGTATGACTATTTCTCCATCATGCATTATGGAACAAAGTTTTTTAGTAAAAACGGAAAGGCAACAATTAAGATTCGGAAAAAGGGGAGAAGGATTGGAGCTCAGATCGGACAGCGAAGGAGTCTGTCGTGGATTGATGTCGCACAAGTTCATGCCATGTATAATTGCAATAAAATACCATCAGAGGACTCAAGTAAGTTGAATAAGGCGGCGAACCATAAATAAATTCATCTTCACGTTTTCATTAAAGGGAAGTAATTCAAGTTCTCGTACTTTTGAATGGTAAGGAAGTGTATTCTATTCAAGTGCAAAATATTAGATGCCATGGTAAAGAGGGCAAAAACAATTTTTCTTTTATATTACTTTGATTCTTTTTAAACTCTCTTGTCCTATTAAATCCTCTTCTTGTACTCCATTTTTTTATGTCCCCGTATTTCAAGAGATCCCAGTAACTTACTCCTCGTCAATGTACACCCCTGTATCTGAAGTAATGATGGAAGTTAAGCTGATAGTTTCGAAAGAAACTGTTCGGGGCTGCGTCGGTGGGAGTAACAAAATAATTTGGATATATCAACAAAGTTGAAGAGGTAAATTGGCCACCGTAACGATTACAAAAGCTGACGTTTCGAGCGTTAGCCCTTCGTCGGGGCGATGATGGGAGTTGTCTATCTTCCATCAAGAGTTCAAAACTAACGAAGAAAACACCATCTTTCTTCTTCAGAAACTTGCTTCAATAGTACAACGGGAGATGGTAGAGAATACCGAGGACAGCTTAACTACACTGAGAAAGGCATCATGTGCCAGCCATGGAATGAAAGATGGCCGCATGATCCAGATGAGAGGAAACATAGAAACCAAAGTAGAGATGGACTGGGAAAACACAATTACTGTCGTAATCCGCGTGGAAGACGTGCGCGGCCATGGTGCTACACGACGCTTAAAAGGCCTGTATGGCAGTACTGTGACATTGTGATATGTAATGGAACAATTAAAAAGCGCGAAGAGGACACTTGAAGCGAGATTCACGAACGCTCGAGAGAGTGAATGTTACGTGAGCGTTTTTATAGCATCTAGTATCTGCGTGAATCGCTCAGCTTGAGCGTGATGGTTACGCCTGACCTAACATGGAATCGTCATTCGCTAACGATGTAAAACTGAGTGAGGACAAATTATACGATACAAGAATTGACTACTGTCTTTGGAAAGGCACTGAATCCAGTCATCGCGTCGAGCTTTGAGATCTTATTGACTTGTACAGAAAATAGGGATAATTTATAGACCTTCAAGAGACAAAGTATATTTAACATCGGTGATGAAAGGCAATTAATATTTTTACAGGAAACCCAAGGCATGAAAAGTAACACCGAAAACGCATGTCCTTGAAAAGCTGCGGTTTGAACGTGTAAATAACTCGTGATCTCGCCGACCTTGGCCTCATGGCGGCGAAAGGATGAACATCGCAGCATTTTCCGGGTACTTTAATAGTCCTATTAAATCTATTGATATGTCCATATCGAGTCGACGCTGATGTTTTCATGATCATGACTTGTTACACTATCACCATTTGTCCCGTCGAAACGTTGAAGCTGAATAGTCATATTTATCGGGGTTTTACGTAGGCGGTGCAGTCAAATTAGGCCAGAAACTTCAATTTCAAGGATCTAACGACGAGAATACAAATCAAAGTTATTCTTGGCAACAAATTCTATTCACACCACTTTTTATCCTGTGGTTTTGACGACTGCCTCCCGGCTAGGTCCACCAACTCGATATAAGCTTTTGTTTAAGGGATTTGCAATATTTTTGGCCAACTTGTAAATTCTGGGCGGTTTTGTTGCGAAAATACGAGGAAGTTTCCTGTCGTGGCGTAGGATATATAACATCACGTACGGCCCCTCAGTTGGTAATAATAGCCCGTGCGTTGTCGAAATACTGAGTGGTTTTGCTTTGTAGAAGCATTCTTGTAATCATTGCCAATTATTATGACGCATTCCACCCACGCCTGAGTCTTTGTCCTAACCGGAACGGGTCCGAAATCTTCTGTATGTATACTGTAAAGACAATTCTAATTTAATGAATGTTCACTTTTTATTACACTAAATGTTAGTTGACGCTCCTTAGTATTTATGTGAATTTTGAAATCTGGTCTAACCTCTTTCATTTTGCGCACCACAGATAAAGAAAAAAGTACCTCGATGAAGAACCATTCTTTGTTTTATCATTCAGTATCCACATGTTAAGAATGATTACGGAGTTTTTTCTACTTACAGACAAGACTCGTCAACAGTCCTCGACTGAAACCGACACCCTTCCTTTGTTGAAATGTCAATATGTAAATTTTGATAAGGTGGTCGGTAGGACGGGTAAAAAGGAATAAAATCTGCATTAATTAAGGAATGGATATTTATTAGCCAAAAATCGGAACTCCATTCAACCCTCTATTAGCTTCCGAAATTTATCATTCCCGATCGATAGATTATAAGAAAGAAGAATAGTTTAGTTTATTGTATGGATACAAGTATGGAAAAAAGATGTCGTGTAATAATATATGTTTAATTTAATTAACTCACTTATGGTTAAACTGAATAAAATGATGTACGATATTGAATTCGTTGTTTAAACTGTTGCAAATGTTTTCATGTTATGCCTGACATTTTATACCAGAGGTGGATCCAGGAATGTTTGATTGGGGGGATCCAAACTTTGGTTCAGAAAGGACTGTTGGACTCTTTTGAGGCAGATTACTTCTCCCCCACACCCCCCACACTTCCTCCCACCAGTCGCGGTTGCACGTTATAATTCATTGGCCGCTTCCCGTTTACTTGGAATCATTAAAAAAACCAGCCAGTTAAAAAGTGATGTATGATCCTGTCTCAAAGTTGTAAGCGGGGGGTGATAGGGGGGGTCCTGACCCCTCGGACGCTCCCCCTGGATCCGCCACTGCTTTTTCAGAGCACTTTGAAAAACTGAAATTTTCACCTCGTTGTCAGTGTTTGTCTTTCATGTTTGTTTCTTTGTTTGTTTTTGAAGAACCGTTTGCTGATTTGGGCATGAAAGAAACCTTTGGAGTTTAATGACGTGGAAGGAGACTGCTGATGGTGCTTTTTCCAGCATTCTTAGAAAATGTAGGGCTTCAAACATAAACATTCTCACAGTCATTTTAGAACTCCACCGTTGGACACGACCGGTCTGAAAATCGCTGCTCTTGCAATTTTTATTACATTCCGTTCTTCTTCCTCCAGATACATTAATGTTTGCAATAAATTTTCCTGGTGACAAACTGATTATGTCAGAAAAGCTCCATTGCAATTTTGATTGCTTGTTAAAGTATCTTCCACTTGAGTTTCGAAAAAAACCAAAACCACAGATTTCACAACAGCCATATTGGAGAGGTTAACATCATCAGTCAATCAGAGCTCCGAGTAAAAACAGAGACACCGCATAAAAAGCGGGAAAACGCTAATGACCAGATCATGATTGGCTCACTTTTGAATCAAAGCGATGACACCTCAGGCGTTGCCAAATATAGAGAAGTTAATAAGTCCCCCCCCCCCCAAAAAAAAATAAAAAAATGCTATTTTGTCTTCTTCGGTACGCACGGGATACGTTTCAGCGACATTTATTCTCCCCTGATGCTAAAGTACGCCCTCCTTTGTATCTGAGCAACTGCGCACCCACCCCTCCTCTAACCCTAACTTTTCACTGGTTGACTCTTATTGGGTTAGGGGAGGGGTGAGTGGTAAGCTTCTCAACGTGACTGACATTACCTACAAACACTTAATTTTGGAGCAAAACAGACCAAATCGTAAAACTTATGCTTGCTAGGGTTGACGAAATCTTCTGCTAGTATGTACTTGAATCACTCATTTTGTTTTACTATTTCATCATACCAAGTTATTCCACTGAACAAAGCTATTTTTCTGTCGTATTTTGGTTTACTCTTGTTTGGTATGGGCAAAATTTTTAGCTGCATAGCTATACCTCCCACTACCCTAGTGGGGGAAGAGTTTCTCTTACATCCGGGACCTCGTTGCCCAGTGCTTGGCTACCGAATGACAACAAAAAGGAGGGAATTTCGTCTGAACATTTCCAAAATAATGTGCACTTCATGTAACTCATTAAGCACACAGTATATTTGCTAGATATGGATGAAAGACACTGGTGGTTTGCTACTAAGCTTCAGGAAACTTTTCATATTGGGCCTTATGACAGCCCTACGATGCTCGAGGACTTTATGGCAGAGCAGACCACTCTTGACTACATTAATGACTTTTTGGCTCCTGAAGGGCATACAAAGTTGTTTTTCTACTGCCCTAAAGCGGATCCAAACAGTCTTCTGCCCAGGAAGATGAATGTAGCTAGCTCGTGTGCAAAGCTTAAAGAAGTCATGGATGGAGAAGCGATCTGTTTGTACTTCATTCGTTCTAATTTGGAGCGCGTCATCGACCCTACGTGCGTGGAAAAGGAGGTGTTTTGTGGCGAGATCAAAGAGAATCCTTTGGTGCATTTTAGTTCGTTACTCTCTGAGATATTCTCTCCGATTCTGCACGCACAGAAAGATTGGGGTCATTCCTCTGAGGAAGAAGTTTCGCACTTTTTAAACCAGTTAGACAAGTACACAAACACTTTGAGTGAGTATGCTAATGCTACGATTGCACCTCAGCAGATTTTGAAAAAACCAGAGTCGCAAGTCACCTCTGATTTTAAGCAGAACAGAGCAGCAGCAGTGAATCCTTCCATTTTACTGGAGTACGAGAATCTTGTTTTAGATTGGATTGTGACTATTGAAAATATACTCACCGATGGACTAGAAGAAAGGTACAGAAAACAATAATCATTATGTTTTGCTGTGATTGAATGACTTTTTTGGGTCTACATAAGCTTATATTTCAATGGGATTTGGGTTTATGGTGATCATGATTGAAATCTCTAGGGTAAAGTCATCTGGAATTAATGAGGTCAGGGGACAGGTGCCTTTGGTCAGCATCCAACTGCAATGGGTGGTCATGGTAATTTAGAGTCGTTTCCACCCAAATGATGATCTCAACAATAGAGAAAAGAAATCCAAAAGCCCCTCTGAGGCATTGTGTCTAATGGAAGCTAAATTACAGTTATGGTTGTTGACCAATGCTGCCTTGATTAGCTCAGTAGACACCAAATTGACAATTGAGGTCATTACTGTGTTGCATCTGTAGTATTTTTCCAGTGCATGTGCAGATTATGGCAGAACTCAAAGATATCTTGGGTGGGACAAGCAGTAATTCCGGTGTGCAAAAGGAAACCGAAGAATTTGTACATGCACCTACCATACTCTGCAGACTGGGCCTTTTCTTGGGGATAATGAGGACTAATAGTTAAGATATCAGAGAATTCACTGAATTGCAAATATCATGAATTAGCTTTCTTCAGCTCAAGCTCTCTTGTATTCTTCTGCAAGTTAAGAGTATCTGCACTATTAAAGTTTCCATATTAGGAATGACTAGAGTTCATATCCACAAAATTGGACTCTAAGGTGTCCAAGTACCATGATAAATAAGTTTGCGTGCCCTGCTTGTACAAGAGAAGTTCACTACTCTTTACAAGTTCTACAGTCTGTTATTGACTGGTAAAGTATCCAACCAGACTTTGGAAGGCAGGGACTTCTCACACTCTTTGCAAACGAATTGGATATCCTTCTGACCTTTGTTGTTGGTAGGATGAATAACACTGTCCACTGGATAAATCTCTACTCAGTGGATAGTACAGTACTTTTTGTCATCAGATGTCCTCTGCATCGGCCACCATATTTATCCATTGCATAGCATTATCTGCTGTTTGAACGACTGGCTCTTGTCATTTTGGCATCAACCTCTTGGTCAGGACATATTTTTTATCGGTAGTTTGTAGGGCTGTTAAACCGACTAATAAGAGGAAAGAAAACAGAGCAGCTTGTTAATCCTTTGACTCCTATGATTGACCAAAACAGAATTTCAATATCAAGTAGACAAGTGACGAGAACAAAGAAAAATATTAATTAGGGTTATATTAGTTTATCTAATACCAAATTCTCAGGATCATAACATAAGAATTGTATGGAGGACAGTAAGAAGATTTTGTAATGAGATCCTGGGAGACTGAGAAGGTTAAATTCTGCCCTCCTGTCTTGACTAACCAGTTTAAATTGTGTGCGGAGAGCCACCACTGATTGATCGTCTGGAATAGGTTATGTGCTGTTTTTAATTGGTCAATTTCTATTTGTAGATTTGATCCTTTTTCTGGCCCACTTGGTGAGATGGATAAGTGGAAACGTAGACAGAAACTTCTCACAAGTGTCACTGACCAGTTAAAGAGCAAAGAATGCAAAGGAGTGCTTGCCATTCTAATCACAGCCAAATCTAAAGTACTAAAACGATGGAAGGCTATTGATGCCAGGTACATGTATGTGACTGTAAACTATTTCATCTCTAGATGGCAATTTAAAGAGAAATTTGAAAGAGATAAATGAACACATCAATAAGTCTCTGCAATTGACATCAACTGATTTTTTGATAAACTAAGCAGATGACATTGTCTGTGTCCATGGTAATGATGATTATGAATTAATCTACTCCAGTTGCTATGACTTGGAGGACTTATCCCACTTTGACTTATCACCTGTTCAAACTGTTCACAAAATACATTTAACTTTTTGTTTATATTTTGTGACATTTTCTTTCAATTAAAACCCCCTTCAGCTGCACCTCACACCATCTCTCTTTGGTTTGAATGTTTTTGAAATTTTACAGGAGCATTAAACAGCTCATGTTAATTGGTTTTGTTAATTCAGCATTACTGATGCATTCAATGAGACCAAAGATAAAGTAAAGTACTTGGAGTCACTGCGTAAGTACTTTGATCAACTGAATGTGGGTAACTCACTGGTCAACATATGTGGCCATACTCTTCCTGGACTAATGGCAAGTGTGCGACAGATGGATGCAATCTCACGATACTATGCCAGAAATGGATACCTAGGGCTGCTGTTTTCAAAGGTAACTTCTGCCCTGTGCAGATCCAAAAGTTGTCTAGTACAAGTAGTTTGTATACAGTCTTTATGGATATTGCTACTTTGTTATCATTGATTTTGTTAGGAATAAAATTTTGTGACTTTTGTGTCAATGAACCGCTAATAACTGTGCATGGATGATTTATAGTTTGTTGTGGATTATTGAATTGTTAGATCACCAATCAGCTAGTGCTGGCTGCAAGAGATTACATAGAATCCAGCACCACAGTCCTAGAGGAGGACAAACTCTGGACAAAGGTTCAAGAAGAAATAGACTCTTCCTCGAGCCACTCAGCTCAGCTGACAAAATTGAAGGGTAAAAGAAGGGGAAACAAAGAGATCATATTCAGTAGTGATGAAGGATTTCTTTCTCGGCTGAAAGTTTGTCTCTCCATGCATAAACAATACCGTGATATGATCAGGAGTTTAAGAGAAGGCCTTGGTGGGTCTCACTCCCTTTCTATGACACCCAGTGCCCTGCAACCTGGAGGAGCAAAGCGTTCTGTGATCACTAACAGTACTTCAAACTTGATGTCGTCAATTGCTGCTAGCAGCCCCATGAGACTCTCAT